CAGGGCAACTTCCTTTCTGGACCTCAGTTTCCCCATTCGGAAAATGAGAGAATTCAATCAAATAGCCTCCAGGACTCTGGACGCCCCTTAGGTTTGATACCTATTGGAGGAGTGTAGTGATGAGAAATGTCTAGAGTACTTCTTACCCAAGTCTTGAAGGTCCCTATTCAATCCTCCCACCATTCCTTTATTAAAGGAGCAGCGGCCCTTTTCTCAGCTGATCATGTGTTTTATCCAACCATCCTCTTGGGGAAATCATCTCCTGCTCTCCAGGCTGGTCTGCTGCAGTCCCCAGCACTCTTGTGGTCAAGCTGTATAGCATGCAGGGTCTTACTTCACCCCAGCCGACCTGGGATCGCACCCATGGCCCCTGCAGTCTTAACCACTGGACCGCCAGGGAAGTCCCCTAGGCCCCTTCCTTGCTTCAGAGGGTCTGCTCCCCATTGAACAAAGGGAATGTGCCCAACTTAAACCTTCCTCCCTGCTCTAGATCCTACTCAGGATGGCCAAAAATTGGCAGAAGAGCGAGGAAAGAGCTTGGGTACATGGGACAGGGTCCCTAAGTACATGGCCCCTCATTGTGCAGGACAGACTTGGGGTGGAAAACAAACGGGGCCAGACTGAGGCCTGGGGTTTTCCTATGCCAAGGACAAAACTCCTAGGGATTCAAAATATTTTCAGTTGAACCTGGTCTTCTATTGGGCTGGTCAAAATGTTCCTTTGGGGTTTTTTTTTTCTTTTTTTCTTTTTTCATAACAACAACCCGAAGATGGTATGGCAAAACCCAAGTGAACTTTTTGGCCAACCCAATAGATCCTCCTAAAAGCATATTTGGGGGACTTCCATGGTGGTTCAGTGGTTAAGAACCCCCAACCTTGCCATGACGGGGACATGAATTTGATTCCTGGTCTGGAAACTAAGATTTCACATGCAGTGGGGTAACCAAGCCCACATGCCACAATGAAAGATCCCACATGAGGCACGAAGATCTCTTGTGCCACAACTAAGACCCAAGTCAGCCAAGTTTCTTTTTAAAATAAAAGTTTAAAAAAATAAAATAAAAGTTTATTTGCCATGATAGAAATAGAGAACACATTTTTTAAAATCAGTTTTTAATTGTGGTAAAATACACAAAACAAAATTTACCATTGGTAGCATTTAGTACATTTGTAATGTTGTGCAACTTGCTACTATCTAGGTCCAGAACCTTTTCATTACCCCAAAAGGAAATTCTGTACCCATTAAACAGGCACTCCCCTCCCAAGCCCCTGGCAACCACTGATCTGCATCTGTCTCTGTAGATTTACCTATTCTGGACATTTTTTTAAAATCAGTGGACTCATACAATATGTGGCCTGTTCTGTTTGGTTTCTTTCACTGAGCATCATTTTTTCAAAAGAGAAAAGTGTTAGTTGCTGAGTAGTGTCTGACTCTTCGTAACCCTATGAACTGTAGCCCACTAGGCTCCTCTGTCCGAGGGGTTTCCCAGGCAAGAATACTGGAGTGGGTTGCCGTTCCCTTCTCCATGTTTTAAAGGTTCATCTGCATTTTAGCTTGAATCAGTGTTTCGTTCCTTTTCATGGCTGAATAATATTCCATTGTATGAATGGATCACATTTTGCTAATCCATTCATTTGTTGATGGACATTTGGGTTGTTCCCACATTTTGGAGGAGAGTGTATATTTTACTTCAAAGCTTGTAGCTTGATTTTATAACTGTTAGCTATTTAGATCAACACTTATATACGGTTCCCTCTATACTCTCATCCTAGGTTCCACCTTGAAGCAAGATTGTTCTGTTTATAATTGTGTCTGTCTCCTAAACTCAACAGCAACTTCCAAGTCTAGTTTATTTCTTTGTTCCCAATTTTGGGAACATTCTTTAATAAGTGTTATGTGTCAGGCACTGTTCTAGGCATGAGAGAGTTGGGTGAACCTGACAAACAGAAAATGCTGTAATAGCACTCACTTTCCAGCTGAGGTGGGGGGCAGGCAGAGATAGATAATATACAAATAAAGAAACAAGGTAATTGATGATAACTATAGTATTGTGAAAGTGTTAGTCGCTCAGTTGTGTCTAACTCTTTGTGATTCCATGGACTGTAGCACACCAGGGCTCCTCTGTCCATGGCACTCTCCAGGCAAGAATACTACAGTAGGTAGCCATTCCCTTCTCCTGGGGATCTTCCCAACTCAGGGATCAAACCTGGTTCTCCTGCATTGTAGGCAGAGTCTTTACCATCTGAGCCACAAGGGAAGCCCAACTGTAGTATTGGGTGAATTACAAAAAAAAAAAAAAAAAGGCAGGGATAGATTTATGGAAAAGAGCTGTGTTTGAGGTAGGCTGGGTGATCAGAGACCACTTCTCTGAAGCAGTGACATCTGAATCAAGATCTGAATAGCAGAAACCAGCCATGTACTGAGTCATTCCAAGCAGAGAGAAAGGCCAGTACAAAGGCCCTGGGGGTGGGAATGCAATTGCAGAGTTTGAGGAAAGCATAAAGGTTCAGATGGAGGCGGGATCAAGGGAGACGGTGTCAGGAGATGAGATCTGAGAAGTGGGAAGGGTTGTTGAGCCAGGGTAGGAAATTTGGACTTTTCTCCTAAGTTTGTTGGAGAGACATCAGAGGGCAATGAATGGCTGGGAAAAGGGTGGGGGGAGAGAAGTGGACGAATTTAGAATATGTATTGGAGGCAGAGCAAGCAGCAATCCAATATATGAATGGACTGGGGTGGGTAGGGAAAAAAGAGAAACTGAAGTTGAGTTCTACATTTTGGGACATGAAAAACAGAATGAGCGAGTTGCTATATGTAGTAAAGAGAAGTAGAGTTGGGGGGAGACCAAGAATTCAATTTTGAAAGTGTTCAGTTTGACCCATCTATTAGACTGGGGACTTGGATATGAGTTAAAACTCAGAGGAGAAATTAGAGCTAGAGATATAAATTTGGGAGACATCTGCATAGAGATGGTGTTTAAAGTGTGAAATTGGAGTTTGTCAAGGTCTGAGTGTTGGCAGGAAAGAGATTGTATACTTAAACTGAGTAATTGATCAGAACTCAATAGAAGGAAATAAAGACGGCATAGTGCACTCGCTGGATTAGCAACAGCTGGGAGCTCTTACCACCCCATAGCCCTGGAGGGAGAGAGCTGTTTGGAGCTGCTGCCGGCAGTGGAGGGACACAGCCAACAAAGCTTGGAGGAAGAACACATGATCTCTCATTCGCCTCTCTCCCATCAGTCAAACCCAATGGAAGCCAGAGGGGAAAGCACCCCACTGATGCAGGTGAACCAGAAGTCTGAAAAGGGGCACCTCAGAGGTCAGAGGAAAACCATAAATGGGTAGCGTTCTCCAAGACTAAGGAGCTAGTGGAAAGGAACTCAGGGAAAAGCCAGTGACCAGGTCTGGTAAATGTCATGGAGGTCCTCGGACAGAGAGGGTCTGTGGTGTGGTGGAACCGAGAGCACGGTATGCATGGCTAGAAGAGAGATGCACATACTTATGTGAAGTCGTTTTTGACTCTGCGACTCTTTGGACAGTATCCCACCAGGCTCCTCTGTCCATGGGGATTTTTCAGGCAAGAGTACTGGAGTGGGTTGCTATTTGCTCCTCCAGGAGATCTTCCTGATTCAGGGGTTGAACCCGTGTCTCCTGCACTGCAGGTGGATTCTTTACCACTGAGCCATCAGGGAAGAAGAGGAATAGGAGATGATAAAGTGGAGAGTCCACTGTAGAGACAACTCATTCCAGAAGTAGAGTCGTCATCGTCAACACCTCCCAAAAGGGTAAGTACTACCATCCCCATTTTACAGATAAAGAAACTGAGTCTTGGAGAAGGCTAACAACTTAGCTCAGGTTCTCAGTGGGATGAAACCCAGGTGGGCCCAATTCCAATTGGGCCAATAGAGTCAAAGGGAGGAGGGTAGCAGCTTGAGATTGGGATCAAGGAGAGTGGAGTGAGAGAGTGGATGGATGGGGAGTTACCAGGATAGGCAGGGTGTTGGGGGATTATTGGTGATCCTGAGACCGTGTAGCCGCCGCCCCCCCCCTCCCCCCCGCTTTCTTTAGGTAACTATCTTTTTCACTGGTCATCCCAAAATGGAGGGGGAGGGGTGGAGGCAGGTTTTGGCGAAAGCCCAGTGGAAGACAGTGGAAAATGTCCCTGGGAGTAGTTCGCCTGTTCCTGGCATCAATCCTGGCCAAGAACACCACAATCTGGCCCCAGCTGCAGGGAGCTACTTCCCCCACAAGCCTGGATACTTCTCTGGGTCTCCCAGTCGCCTGGGCCCAAGGTGACCGCCTTTCCAATCTCAGCCGCTCTTCTGGGCCTTGGGCGCTCTGTGTGTGCATGCCTGCCTCGGTCCTCGGTCTGGGAGTGCGCTGGGCAGTGGCCGGCTCGCGGACTTTTCCGGGTGGGGTGAGGGGAAGCGCCCTATGGGCCTGGCGCGGGCGCTGGCGCTCGGCTCGGGGAGGGAGACTGGGGCGGTCGGAGAGGCGGTTCCTGGCGCCCCCTCCAGCCTAAACTGTGCGCTGCAGGGGTGGAACTTGAAAGGACAGCCCGGAGGCCGTTGGTGTCGCTGCCAGCCTGCTGACACAGGATTGGCGGGCCAGGCCAGGCCGCGGAAAGATGGTTTCGGAGGACACCCCCCAGAATACAGTGGTTCAGAGGTTCAGCCAGGCGTGCAGCTGGGTGGGACCAAAACCCCTGGTAATGCCGGGGACGTGAGCCCGAAAAGGTGCCAAGGTGGCGCCCACTGAGTGAACACTGCACCTAGACTGGCGCCCCCAGGTAGCAGGCTAGGTCTAGGGAAGCTCTCTTCTAAAACATCCAATGTCCCGAGCTGACGGGCGGGTCAGTGGACCAAACCCAGTGCCCAGCTGAAGCGCCTCCCCCGGGGGCGGGGCCGGGGCGGGGCTCCGAGTCCGGCCGGCAGGTGCAGGGGGCGGTGCCCGGCCCTGCCCCTGAGGGCAGTTCTTGGACGCCAGGGGCAGGTCAGAGAAGTGGCTCGTGCGGGCGACGCCTTGGAACCCGCGGACAGCAATTGCAACCACAGGTACTGCGCAGAGCAGGGTGTCCCAGCTCTGGGCATCAAAACTCTAGCGCTGGGAGCTAAGGCTTCCGAGCTGCTCCCAACCCTGGACACCTAAGCCCCTGGGCCGCAGAACGGAGCCCCGGGGTCTTCCGAAGCGCGTGGGCCTGAACCCCCCGGCTTAGATATTGAAATTCCCAAGCCTGCCGCAGAGCTGAATACCAGCGTCCGTGTGCCCTCCCCAGACCAGGGCGCGGAGACTCCCGAGCAAGTGAGGGAAGTCCTCGGGCCATAAGCGAGGCAGGACGCAGAGCGTCCTGGGCCGACCGCAGCTGGGGGCTTTGAGAATCCTGGGCAAGGAAGCGACGACCCTGAACCGTCTAAAGCGCCAGGCCCGGGGCTCCTGGAGCAGTGTCTCTCTCAACGTCCGGAAACCTCCTCTGAGTCGAACTCGGAAGCCCTCCAGTTGCGTTCGGAGACCCCACAACATCCCCTAGAGGAGCCACTCATGGAGACGCCCATCGAGCGCGAAATCCGCCGCAGCTGCGAACGCGAGGAAAGCTTGCGCCGGAGCCGGGGCCTGAGCCCAGGTCGCGCGGGCAGTGAACTCGTCGAACTGCGCGTGCGGCCGGTGCTCAGCCTGCCGGGCCCCAGCCCCGCGCTCCCGCGCGCTTTGGAGCGCGCTAGAGCGGGCGCGCAGATGCAGCGAGACATCGAGCGGGAGGCCTATCGGCAGGCGGCGCTGGCGCGCCCCGAGGTCCCGAAGCAGAGCGCCCGGCCGCCGCCGCAGCCGCTGGGCGAGCTCAAGCGCTTCTTCGAGGCTGGGTGCTACTCCTCACCCGCGGTGGAGGGCAGCGCAGACACGCAGCGGCTGCCCGAGCCCGGAGGCCGGCCGCATTCAGTCGTACAGGGCCGGTGTCCGGTGCTGGCTCTCGCCCCGCCGCCTATCGCACCGTCGCTGCTGGAGCAAGAGGTGCGCGAGGTGAATGAGCGCGAGCGGGAGCTGCAGCGCCAGCGGCTGAGCCTCTACGGCACCGCCGAGTTCAAGGAGCCCGCGCCCAGCCTAACGGGTAAGCCACCAGCGCCCCAGCTGGGGATTCCCAGGGCTCCAGCGGCTTTCACCGACTCCCCAGCTCCAATGGGCCTCTAATCCTCAGGGTCCCCCTTCCTGGCTCCCAAACTCCCCGGACACCCCTCTCGACTCTCCCCTCTCTGCCCACCCTTCCTGGACTGACCGTCCCTATGCTCCACCCCCACCCCCGTCGGACTCCCATACCCACCCCACCTAGGCTTGTGGTGGGAGAAGGGAGGAGGATCCCAGATGTCTTTGTCGGATTCCCAGGGACCCTCCCTGCGTTCTGGCACACCTGGATCTCCCCCTGTGAATTTTCTGGTTCCTGCCTCCTCACTGTGGGTTTGTTCGCCTTCCCCCTCCCTGGGGCTCCTCCCTCCTCCCTCGGGAAGGAGGCCTCCGTGGGGAAGAGCGGGGGTGAACGCCTGTGTGTGTTTAAGGGGCGCGGCCGCTCTCCTTCGTCCTGGCCGCCTCCTGCCGGTAAGGCGTAGGGTGGGGCAATCCCAGCTGAGCGCCCCTTCCTCCGCAGTGAGCAGGGGCGACGGAAAGCTGGCGGTGATCTGGCCTCCTCGCAGAAAGGCTTCGGAGAACGGTCTGGAACAGGTGGGAACCCCTTTCCCCTCCTGCCCCTACCCCAACCCTCTGCGTGGGAGAAAACTGGGCTAGCGAAAGGGCTCCCTGGGAAGTCACTGCGGTAGGACCCGAAGTCCGGGGCGTGGCCCGCGGGTGAGGAGGAGGCGGTGGTCGTGAGGCCCACACTGCCCCATCCGGCGCCTGGGTGTCCCCACTCGCGGTGCGCGCGCCGCTAAGACTTGCCTTTGGTCTGGCCCCTCCCCCTGGCAGGAGGAGCCTTGAGGTTCCGGCCCTCTGGGGTCCCAGGAGGAAAGTAACATGCCCCGCAGACCCTCGGGCCCGGGCGCTCAGGAGTGCCCTCCGGATCCGCGGAAGGCCTGGAGAAGGGCCACAGGTCTGCGCCGGGGAAGACGCAATCGATCAGCATCCTTGAACCTGACTTTGTGAAACTGACCGGAATCTTCTATAAAACTGTTAGTCCCCATTGGGAAACACCGCCACTACCACCCCGCCAGTAAAACTGCCCAGCCCTTCGCCGCCTAAACGGCACTTAGCCTCTCCTTCTGGCCTTGTCTGCTAGAAGACAGGGGTCCTCGGCTGCCCCTACTCCCCAATAAAGCCCTTTCTTTCTGGACAGTGTAGGCTGTTTTCTTCTGGGTTTTATTCTCCTGGGGTGGGGCAGGAGCGCGGCGAGACGAGGAAGGCCTGACACACACGGGAGGCGCCAGCCGGAATGCAGAATGTCCCCTTGTCGCCCGGTTCCGGGGCCGCTGGTCTCCCCCGGCCCTGCCGGGGTCCTAGTGCCCCCTAGCGATGCGGGCCCGAACTGCGGCTTTGGGACAAACGAACTCATGCCCTCCCTTTCCAGATTTCGTCAACTTTTATTGGTGCCAAACGACGTGCCCCGCGCATGGTGCTGGCTAGACAGAAGTGATAAGAGGTTGTTCCCACTCTGGGGATATAAACAATAGCTACAAAAAAAAAAAAAAAAAGTGGTGTTGGTAGTTCAAGCTCCTTAGCAGGGCATGTAAGGCCATTTATAATCTGCCGAGCAAGTGTAAACCTCAGATGCTTACAGACCCCAGTGTGTGTGTGTGAGCTGCTCAGTCGTTTCCAACTCTTTGATGAGATCCCATGGACTGTAGCTCACCAGGCTCCTCAGTACATGGAATTCTCCAGGCAAGAATACTGAGTGGGTTGCCTCCCAACCCAGGGATGGAACGCGGGTCTCCAAAATTGCACGCAGATTCTTTACCATCTTAGCCACCAGGGAATCCCTTACAGACCCCAGACAGATAATAAAAGAGCGAGAGAGTGTGCTGTAAAACAAAGACCTGGTTTCAACAGGGAGGAGGCAGGGGTTACTTCGTATCACCAGTGCTTTGAGTGAGTGAGCTCAGTGGTGTTAAGTCTCTGTTTTCCAAAAGCAACTGGAGGGAATTCCCTGGCTGTCCAGTGGTTAGGACTTCATGATTTCACTGCCGAAGGAAGACCCTTGTTCAGTCCCAGGTTTGGAAACTAAAATCCCACAACCCCTCTGGTGCAGCCAAAAAAAATCTAAAACAAAAAACCCCAAAGTAACTGGAAATCATCTTTAAAAGAGAAATCTACTGAACTTTAAAGAATTGTGACTATTTAGAAAACTAACTGGTGGGAGGTAAGAGCAGACAGCAAACAATACCTGTTTGCAATAGGGCTTGTGGCTCAGTTGGCAAGCCCTCCTTAACTTCCCTTGGTCCCAAGACTAGGGGTCCAAGGCCTCTGATGGGGTTCAAGATAAGCTGTAAAGCTGCATCAGTGCAGTATATTCTGCAGTTTTAATGTATCAAATTCCTGGAGATGCACTGAGACCCAGAAAACACTGTTTTAGAATCACTGTTTAAACTCTTGGATTTATGCCTGGGTCTAGCTCACACAGTACTGCACCCCAACAGTAGCTCAGCCCAAGGACCCACCCCTGACCCTATCATCAGCACACTGACCACATGCTTGCCTGTGACTCTGGGAGGAATGGAGAGAAAGGCAGGAAAGAGCCAGCATTTGTTGTTCAGTCACTCAGTCATCTCTGACTCTTTGCAACCCCATGGACTGCAGCACACCAGGCTTCCCTGTCCTTCACCATCTCCTTGAGCTTGCTGAAACTCGTGTCCATTGAGTTGGTGATGCATCCAATCATCTCATCCTCTGTTGTCCCCTTCTCCTGCCTTCAATCTTTCCCAGCATCAGGGTCTTTTCTAATGAGTCAGCTGTTTGCATCAGGGGGCCTAAGTATTGGAGCATCAGTCCTTCCAATGAATATTCAGGATTGATTCCCTTTAGGATTGACTGGTTTGATCTCCTTGCAGTTCGAGGAACTCTCAAGTCTTAAACACCAGAGTTCAGAGCCAGCACTGCCAAGGTGGAAAATGGAAACACCAAGAACCTGTTTTTAATCCCCTGCAGAGGATCTAAGAGCTAAGTATGTCGAGTTGACAGAACTTAAGTATAGACCTGGGTTCATGAACTTTCTTGCATATTAGTTACCTGAGGCATGCTTATGTCAAATAAATCAGATTCTGATAGAAGCTTTGGCATCAATAAAGCTCCTCAGGTGTTTCTAACATGGAGCCAAGTTTGAGAGCCACGAAGCTGATATAGGCTCGATATAGGTTGATACAGGCTTAAAGTGTGGTGTCTGGATGAGCAACATCAGCATCACTTGGGATCTTGTGAGAAAAAAGTTCCATCCCAGACTTAGTGATCAAACCCTCCAGTGATTCTGAAGTTAGAGAATCATGGGTGTAGACAGTTCCTGAGCAACTACTGGTTGCTTACTGTCTAAGTTGTGCCTGACTCTTTTATGACCCTATGGACTATACATTACACCAGGCTCATCTGTTCATGGGATTTTCCCAGGCAAGAATACTGGAGTGGGTTGCCATTTCCTTCTCCAGGAGATCTTCCCCACTCGGGAATGGAAAACCCTCCCACCATCTCCCCCATTGCATTGGCAGGCAGATTCTTTATCACTGAGCCACCAGGGCTTCCCTCCTGACCAACAGGACCCAGGAAATCAAACCTGTTTCCTTCTTCTCCCGGGACTGCCACCACCAGAAATCTAGTTTTAAGTGGCTTGTGGATTTGTCTTAAGGGAAGATAAATTAAAGCTGCATGTGGCTAGTCCAAATTGAGATGTGCTATAAGTGCAAAATACACAGATTTCAAAAACCTAGTACAAAAAAAGGGGGATACCTCAATAATTTTTTAAAATAATTTCTTATATGTTGCAAAAATATTTTGGATATCTGGGGTTAAATAAAAATATCACTAAAAGTCTGGTCTCTTTATTCTTTTAGTATAGCTCTTAAAAATTTGCAATTACATAGGTGACTCGCATTTGTGGCTCAAATTTCTATTGGACTGGACTAGTCTAAACAGTTTTCCAGTAGTCATGTATGGATGTGAAAGTTGGACTATAAAGAAAGCTGAGCGCCAAAGAATTGATGCTTTTGAATTGTGGTGTTGGAGAAGACTCTTGAGAGTCCCTTGGACTGCAAGGAGATCCAGCCAGTCCATCCTAAAGGAGATCAGTCCTGGGTGTTCATTGGAAGGTCTAATGTTGAAGCTGAAACTCCAATACCTTGGCCGCCTGATGCAAAGAACTGACTTATTTAAAAGGGCCCTGAGGCTGGGAAAGACTGAGGGCAGGAGGAGAAGGGGACGACAGAGGATGAGATGGTTGGACGGCATCACTGACTCAATGGACATGAGTTTGGGTAGGCTATGTGAGTTGGTGATGGACAGGGAGGCCTGGTGTGCTGCAGTCCATGGGGTTGCCAAGAGTCGGACACGACTGAGCGACTGAACTAAGTCTAAACAGTGGTGGTGGTGAACTCAGAGGGGCCTTGACTCAGTATTAGGGAACTTCAGAACCCGTTTGGACTTATTCAAACTCTCGGGTTGTGGACTAAAAAATCCTTGGTGCAGTCAGAAACTGTCACCAGAAGGCTCTACTCCCACTCCAAAAAGACAAGGGTTTTGGTTAATCTGGATTCACTTCACGTTTCTATTTTTATAATTTGTAAACTGGGATAATCATAACACATGATAATACTATGTGTCAGGGACTATTAGGTAAGCAGGGCTCTAAGTCTCTCCTCTGACTCTGAAAATGCAAGGGAGACTCAAAAGGTGTCCATCAGTTTAAGGGGAGAAGGGTGGGTAACTCGCAGCTGACTGACAGCCGGATGAGAAGGACACTCCTCCCCTGGCAAGTGACCAGTTGCTATCAGGTGCAGGCTCCACCACCTGGTCTCTGAAGCTCTAGGTAGGCAGGTTCACCTCTCAACCCGGTCTCCTTTTCCGTCCAAGGAGGGCCTCACCGCTCTCCCACCCAGCCCGCGCCCCGGACACCTCAGGAGGGTACAGCGACCTGCCCAAGCCATGACCCAAAAGCTGGAAGAGAAAGCTCTAACCTCGGCGTTTAGGAAACTGATCGCTGGCCCTTTCCTGGGGCACGTCGGGAAATAGAGTCTTTTTCGGTACAGGGAAATAATTTCCGGGTCAAAACATGAGAGTGGGCGTAGCCCTGCGTTCCTTCTCACAGTGGGCGTTGAATTTCCTCGCTACCCGAAACTTGCGGTTATCTGGGTTCCGGTTGTTGACAGGAGCCGCTACTTCCCTTTTTGCTTGGTACCGGCCCCTACGCATGCTCTGAGCTCCCGTCGGCCAGGCAGCAGACCACGGTTTTGTTTCCATAAGACTACATTACCCAGAAGGCCATAGCGAGTGGGCGGGGCCTCCCCTCCCCAAGGGGAGGGGAGCGGCGCTCTGAGCGGACGCTGAGCCTGTGACCTCTTTCTTTCTTTTATTTAACACAAAACTGGTGTGTTCACAAGCAGGGCTTCGCGGCCGGGCCGGATCCAGTGCGGACGGGCCAGCTCGGCCTGGCCCCTTGGAAGGCAGGCCGAGCCGCACTAGGAGAACGAGTGAGCCCCTCCCCTACCCCCTCTCCTGGAGTTTGGAACTGTCAAGCTCCAGCTCCCACCCTCTCTCCAGGTTCAAGACCCCTGAGCGGCCCACGCCGCGGGCCCCGCGGCACTCGGGGGCCGAGCCGGGCCTTCCTGGCCCGTGAGGATCTGCACCAGCAGGTCGGTGGCCAGCATGTGCGACGGCTCCTCGAAGCCGATGGTCAGCAGCTGCTGGTAGTCCCCAGGCGGCTGCGGGCACAAAATCCTGGGCGCCAGGGACAGACAGGCCAGGACGTGAGCGTCCCCTGCTACTCGGGAGCCCCTCCCCTTGAGCGAGAGGCTGTGGCTGAAAGAGGCTTTGTTTCAGCTGGGGGTGGGAAAAACCCTGGGGGAAAGTGGTTTCCTTGTTGATGAGAAACCTAGAGGGTAAGGCTCTGGGAGGCTGAGCAGTTTTATCCCTGACCTGGCTGATTACTCAACGAGCTGTGTGTCCTTTGGCAGGTAACTTAACCTCTCTGAACACCTGTTTCGTTTGTAAAATGGGGCTAGTAGTATAGACCTCAGTGGATTGTTACATGAGTCTACATAAAGGCTTTTCAGGGCACAATAAAATTCATTATTTTCAATGGTAACAGTGTTGAGGGAGGCAGATGGTCTCTGGTTGGCTTCTGTCCCTCCCTCCAGACCCCCCCCACCTTACCATTGCCCTGGCTCCTACCATGAATAAAGATCATCCTCGGCTGGTCCTAGGGGCACCCATCGGCCGATGGACCACAGCTTCTGAATCTGGGGGCAGGAATTGGCCGGACTCTTGCCTGTGTCTTCCCATGTATCTCGATAGCATAGGAAGTAGCTGGGAAGGGAAGGGGGAGCAATTAAAAGTGAGCAGTGAGCAGTCTCTTAGTTCTTCTGTTTGAGGGCTTTAATTTTGGAGGTAAAGTGGAAACTCATCAAAAGTTACCTTCAGGTTCTCAGGTAGGCATGTGACAATACTAAGGCCTTTTCTCCCTGTCAGCCTACTTTTTTAAGATAACGACTTCTATTTTGATGAGGGCATCTATGTATGTATGTATGTATGTATATTTAAGGTGAGGATGACCGTGCAAAGGTTCTTGAATTCCTGCTTGACTTTCCACTTTGGTGGTGGTTCAGTGGCCCAAACTGGCATTCTCCCATAGCGAGGGGGAGGACTTGGATTCTGATAAGGGGACTCACTAATCCACGTGGGAATCTTGCTCCCGGCTGCTGGCCTCTGGGGTGGTTTCCAGGTTCCAGCGCATCTTCTTATAGAGGTATCGGGGGAAACGGCTGGCGGTGTAGGCGGCAGGGGCACAGTATCTGAAGATGGACACCTCATAGGAGGGACTGATGGAGAACCTCCCGCAGAAGAAGCAGGAGATGCTGGCAGGAGATTCAAGAGTAGGGAATGAGGCTATGCCCTGGGCTCCTCCACCCCTGACCCCAAGCCAAGTCTCTTAGGCTTTTACCTTAGGGGGTCAGTCTCCTCCAAGTTCACGAACCCAAAAGAGGCATACATTAGGACCAGCTGTTCCAGGCGAAGAGTGAGTTGTTGGGAGATCTCCAGCAGCTGTATGGAAGAGGGGGCATAACGAGATTAATTGGCCTTCCAGGAGCATCCTCCCCATCCCCCAGGCCTGAGGGATGCAGAAAGGGGCATCAGGGTCTAGGAAACCTGCTCCACACACACCCCCTTTCGGATCAGCTCCTGCAGGGCTCCATAGACGGGGGGCACACTCCGAGCAGCTGCCTCCAGGTACAGGAAGTAAGGCTCACACATCTGCAAGAAGGTGGGCATGGCCTTTGCCAACTGTTCCTTCTGCACTCGGTCCCTGCTGAAGGGAGAAGCAGGCCTTTGCCTGAGTCCTTGGCTCCCCCACCAATTTCTCCCATCCTACACACCCCTCCCACCTGTATCCCTGGCCTGGACTCCCACTACGAACAAACCCCTAGAGACCCTTTCAGGACCACCATCATCAAAGACATGTGAAACACTTGTTAAAATGCAGACACCTGAGTCCCACGTCTGACTTTGACCTACTACTATTCCCTGGGTGAAGCTCAGAAATTTAGGATTTAAACAACCTCCCAGGGGATTCCAATGGACATTGATCTGTGAGCATCACAGTCTCCCTTCCCTTGGTCTGGGAATCATATTATCCTCTGAGGTCTCAAACTGGTAGCCAGCAGGCCAAATCTGGCCCAGATAGGTTTTGTTTAGCCTGCCCAAGGTTCGAAACTTAAGCCAACAGTTAAAAAGTGGGAGAAAAGTTCTAGCAGTTTGGCAACCCCAAAATCCCAGATAGTAGTCCGCCCTCCCTAACCCCAAGTTTCTACACAGTTCTCAACTCTGAAATTGGGTTGCTAATCAGCCAGCGTCATTTACTTCGTCTAGCTCCCAATGCTTTTGAGTTTGCAAACCTAGTGTATTTCGCCTATTTTGTTAAACCCTCCTCTGCCCCTTTATCCATGGTAGAATCTAGGACCCCGTCAAGCATCACCTGTAGAGCAAGTAGCTCTGAAAATCATCTGCCTTCTTAAGCAGGTAGCAGAGCTGTTCGGTGATGGGGCTGAACATGGTGTCCCACGGCAGGCGAGGAGGGGTGGGCCGGGGGCCTGGGGCCGGACGCTCCGGGGAAAGCGTAGAGGTGGGGGCCTGGGGCAGCTGTCCTTGAACATCCTTCTCAGGCTCCGCCTCGGGTGGGTTCCCAGGTCCGCCAGGGGGAGGCGACCACGAGGGGTCTTCGCAGGGCTGTGCCCCAGATTCCAAGTCGTCCAGGGGCGGCGTTTCCCCAGAGCCCGCGGCGAGCGGCCCCACGAACCACTGTTCGGTTGCCATCGTGCGGCAAGAGGCGGGGACCACCGGAGCTCTTTAAGCCTCCGCTGCTCACATTGGCCGTGGGTTCGACCCCGCCCAGGGTATCTCGGACCTGCCTGGCCTGGTTCACCCCAGTCTCTACCTCCCTGCCGGCGCCGCGTGGAGGGAGTTCGCCTCATTTGAATTTCAACACGCCGGAGGGGCGCGCCGCTCTTGTCCGCGCTGCGCGGCAGCGGCGCCCCGCGCACACGCGCGCTCCCAGAACCTGACCGTGGGGTGCGCCTCCGGGGGAGGTGACCTGGGCTGCAGCTGGCGCGGCGGTGTCCTGGGGGCGCGGCCTGGGGCCAGCGCATCTAACTCTGGGAGGTGGTTTCCTAGGGAGGAGGGATCTTCTCCGCGCGTCAAACCTCTGGGGTTGCAAGTATAGAAATCAAGGAAGGCCCCGCCCCGCTCGCTGACTCTGACCCCCAGGCCCTGGAATCTGTATTTAAAAAAAACAAAAACCTAATGGAAATGAGAAACTGCACTAGAACTTACTAGGCTCTTGTGATGTAGTAGTTGTCACTATTACTAACAATAAAAATCTTCACTTGGAAAAGATTTCCCCATCTCATGATCTCATCTGATGGCCCAGTCCCTCCTTTCCCTTTTATGAAAAAGACCTTGAGGATTGGGGACCCTACCATGGGCCCAAGACACTTCGGCCCTCCCCACCCCCTCAAGTTGTAGACTGGATTCTTTGTTAACATGCAAAGGTTGTCAGATACAGAGGACTGAAGCCAAATACATTAATTATACTTAAAGATGCTGGGTAAAGAAAGACAGGTGTCCGACCCCACCCTGTGTGACACGGAGCCAGCGTCTTTGCAGTGATGAGCCAGTTGCCAGGTCTATAAAGTGTTTTTTTTTTTTTTTAATGAGCTCTGTCTGCCTCATGGGGCTCTGGTGAGAACCCAGAGAATGCTCATAAAACCTAGAGTTAACTGCTAGTCACTTAACAAATATTTGAGCACCTACTGTGTGCCCAGGGACTATTCTGGGAACGGAGAGATGGCAGAAGAAACAAATAATCCTGTTCTCCTGTAACAGTTACTGTCAAAATTACAGCCAGCTCTGAGGCAGCACACTCACTACCTAGTCTTCCACTGCACTCAGCTTTGTCCTAAACCCAAGGCTCCCAGGGGGCCGATGTGTATGTATCTTCTCCTCCCCAGACTACTTTCATGAAATGGACTCCATGCCATTTTTTCCTTCTCTCTTTTTTTAAAATTTTATTTAAAAAACCTTCGGTGCAATATTAAAAAGCAATACGGCCAGCTGGAGCGACAACGAACAAAAAGAAAAGGGGAGGATGGGTAGGGAAGATCCCCGGACCCCCTTCCCAGCTGCTCCCAGGGGCTGGAGGCCAGGGCCAGACTGGGGAGGGGCCTGGGTGGTGGGGGAAAGAGGAAAGGCCACCCACCAAAATGAACAGGCAGAATAAAACATTGATATAGGAAATATCTTGCTGAACTGAAGAGGATCTAGGGGAGATGGGAAGCCCCCATTTTCTTCCCCCAAAATGTCCTAGACTGGGGGCAGGGGGCGGGGGGGAAAGGGTTGGCCTCCTGGGGTGAAAGGAATAGGCCCTGCCCCACCCCACACTCCTTTGTCAGGGAGTACAGGATGTGCTGGGGGGCCAGAGCCGTGTATGTTGGGGGAAAGGTGAGTAGGAATGCCCCCTCACTAGAATCTGTTACAAGGGCTGAGGGTGTTCCCGGTCCAGCTCCCAGACTCTTGGGGGTCTTGGGTGAGATGGAGACTGGAGTGGGTTGGGGCAGGGGTGTGAGGCTGGGCGTTCAGCCTAGAAAGCCGTCGGGGTCGTCCTCCTCAAAGTGGCCTTGCTGCAGCACCTTGATGTGGTGCTCGTAGATTTTCAGGGCTGGGCCGAGGCGGATGGACAGGCCGGTCAGCACATCTGTGCGTTGCATGAGCAGCAAAGACTTGCCATCGATTTCCTGGGTGGGACAGAGGAGAAAGAGAGAGAGAGAGCAGGGTCAGAATACACCCCCACTGAGACCCTGAAACCCTGGGGCTAGGCTGAGGGGCCAAACCCACCTGCTCTTGGAAAGCTGTCGCCTGCTCCGGGAAGCCAGCCTCAGTGAAGTATTCGACCACATCTGTCACCGTCCACTCCACAGGATCAGCCGGCTTCTCCTTGCGCCCCGAACTGTGTTGGAACAGAGGGAACCAGTGAGCAGTGACACTCCCGTGGTTCGGTCACGCACCCCCACCCCACCCCGTGTCTCAAACACTGCAACTTACGGACAGCCAAAGGGGGTCCCATCGGCCCCAGGGAGGGCTGGTTTTCCTGGGGGCAAAGGCACGGGGGATGGGGAGTCTGGCCCAGTGGCAGCAGAGGCTAGGAAATAAAAAGCAGATGCCTGTGGTTTTGTCTTGGGGCTCGGTTCCCCCCAACCAGCCACCCTCCCCCACCCGGAGGAGCCCTTACCTGATCCCCCTTCCTTATTCATGGCGGCCATCGAGAACACTTGACGGGTGCCACTGCCTGGCGCTGGCCCGCGTCCTTCATCCTGGCTCTGGTGGGGCCCACAGGGCGTCCACTCCTTGACCCTCTCCTTGGCACTCTGAGGGCCCCGCTCGCCATTAAGCTGGTGGTGTTGGGCACCTGCAGGACGGTCTCCCTCGGGCACCTCGGAGCCCTCAGACACTTCATCTTCATCATCTTCGTCTTCGTCATCTTCATCCTCCTCCTCCTTCTCAAGCACTCGCTCTTCTCCACCTCTCTGGAGTATGAGAGTGAGGCCCGTAAGGGCAGTAGCTGTTCTAGCCCTGGGCCCGACCCGGGGATCCAGGACCAGGCGGACTGCCTCACCACCACCTTTAATACCAACACGGACTAACTTTTACACATCCACTCCGTGCCAGACTCTGTGTTAATACAGCTCTCAGTAGCCAAATCTCACTAAACTCGCTCAACAACCCCAAGAGGTCGCTACTGTTATTAAGTCGCGTTTTACAGCGGAGGAAACTGAGGCTGGCGAAGATCAAGTCACTTGCCAAGGTCACCACCCGCCGAGCCCGCAGGGAAGAAGCGCAAAGCCCCGGCCGCCTGCGGCCCGCTTCCTCCTGGGACTCTCGCCCCGCCACCAACTTCGCCAGCACCTGCCCACCGCACGGCGCCCCCCTCCGCGGCGCGCTCACCTTGCTCCGCGACGCGCGGGCGCTGGCGGCCGGGGGCGCCC